GGGAGGAGAATCCCGCCTTGGCGTGATTGCTTTTACATAAGAAACGCCTTTAAAGCAACCCAAAACCCATAATTGCCCTCAAAACCAGAAATCCAGCCGTAACCAAAGCAGTGCGTTTTAAGAACGAAGTCTCAGCGTGGCAGTTCTTGTAGCTGCAAAAAATGCAAGATTGTGATAAACTTTCCTTACTGGAAAACAAATTATTAGAACGTCTTAGTCACTTACTGTATATTGTTTTATGTTTCTTTAATAGAACCACTATTTAAGTGATGGAAAAGGCTAGATCACTTGGCTTCTTCCATGTTTCTAAATTTCGTTTTCATTAACCCAGGAGCTGAGCCAATGACTCTTGGCTCCCCGACATCTCCAAAACCGGGAGCTAGTGCTCAGTTTCTTCCCGGATTCTTGATGGGCGATTTACCTGCGCCAGTGACTCCACAGCCACGTGCTTTAAGCGGCCCTTCAGTTGGTGTCATGGAAATGAGGTCTCCGCTACTTGCAGGTCAGAATTCACTAAATGCTGAAAAATTGTCCTGTAATTGAAAGTAAATTGAAGGTAAAAATTTGGTTTGTCTTATTGCTCTACGTAACTGTTACAGACTTGAATTCTTATAACTTGCTATAAATGAACTCAACTGATTGAATAAACAGTGTACTCGAGTGTATTCAGTGGAGTTTGGCTAAATTCTTCAAAGTAGACTTAAGTTTAATAAATGTTTTAAACATGGCAGTTTTGGTACCAGGAAAGGTTGCTGTTACAGGGAAGGTAATATGAATATTTCCTAATATAAAATCAATTTATACACCTCTTTACCAGTCAATTGCACATACAGCCATCAATGTTTTCTCTTTGTTTAAAACAGAGATGTCTGTTGGCAAACTAAATGCAGCTTATGCAAGCTGCTGATTTCTTTGCAATGAATTCTGAAAAGTCACTTACATATTGTCAGACTTCTAAAAACTGGATGGAGGAAAACTAAAAAATACAACCACTAGGCACTAGTGGTGTGTTTACAGTATTTACAGTCTTGATGTCTGCTGTAATTGGGCTGCAGTAGTGATTTTTCCTAGCTGTAGATGCTCATCTCTTTCCAACCACCTAATCGATCCGACTAGAAAAAGTCCTTACCCATGTTTCTAAGATGGTGGTATTATACGCCTGTTTTCTTCTCTGGGAAGTATGAGTGAGTAGTTAACAGCTTCATTGATTCATTTCATGTCATGGGTGATCTTGGCTTTTGTATTAATCAATTGGTGTAATCCAAATATCTGATGGTGTTAGTGTGCTGGTCATTTTGAAGGAGAAATTGAGGATTAAAGTACTGCAAGTTAATTTTAGATATTCTTTTCTTTCGATTTCAAGCAGAATTGGAGTCGATCCTTATAGGTCCTTTCCAACTTTAGATATGCTATGATTGGTGGTCTGTTGGTCTCCTGCTTCTTGCTCTTGTTCGTCCCCCCTGCCTCCCCCCCACATACAAACCTCTTAGGAAAATACTTATGAAATTGAAAATAGTCATATGAATTTCACCTAATTGTTTTTAAAAGGGTTTATTACAGCCTCAGAGTATCAATTCTAGAAAAGGGGGAACCAGTAAGGTACTAACACAGGCCTCCCAAAATGAGTGGTTAAGTATATCACTTAAACTGAAAACCTTGATGGGAGAGTGCTTTATATAATACACTGTAACAGTTCTTGGATGTGTTAAACAGTTCAGAGAGGAGTCTTGAAGCTCAGAATTTAGGATGGAAGAGTACTCTGGAAAAGCTTAATTTTCAAATGTTTTGCAAGTGAAAACTGTTAAGTCAACTACTTTTTCTTTTTTTTTTTCCTGGGGTAAACCCACACAAAGCGTTCAGGGATATGTCAAGATCTTTCAGTCAGTTTAATTCTCTGTTATACTGGAAGCCCCAAAGTTTACCAAATGGGAGAGCAGCTGGCTTAACTTCACCCTGTCTAAATGCAAGCTCGTCCCTGGTCTCAAGAGCTTACCTTTTTATTTAATATGAAATTACATGGGAAAGAAAGGAATTTGGACAGTGGGAATGTGATGGCATGTGCAATGTCTGTTTGCATTTTGGTATGGTTCTTTAGCATGTAGAATGTCTCAAGTCTTAAAAACCTTGCTTTTGCATCTCTGCTACAGGGAAGTTAGTCTCTGAAACAATTAAAATACACTACTACCCTGCCTTAAAATAGAAAGGTGTAGCTATGCTCAGAACTTCATAAAAAGAACAACTGCATGAAAGTAGTGAATATACTGGGTTAATAAGAGGTCTAAAATTTTTAGATGATACTTGTGTAAGGAGGCAGTTTCTGACACGTGATATTTTTATGTAGAACATTCAAACCTGAACAGTTTGGTAGGCCAAATGGTTTTGCAAACTCCCAGTGAAACGACCAACAGTCTTTCATGGCTGAATTTACTGTTGAAGTTTCAAGAACAAGTAGCAGTAGAGTAAAATTACAAGTTTTCTCTTACTCTTCATTTGTTCCTTTTAATTGCAGGAGGATCTCCCCCACAACCAGTAGTCCCTACGCATAAAGATAAAAGCGGTGCTCCACCAGTTAGAAGCATATATGATGAATTATCTAGTCCTGGCCTTGGATCAACACCTCTAACCTCAAGAAGACCAGTAAGTGGCTTAGGTACTGGCCTATTCTTAGCAGAAGATGTGAGGTAGCTCACTGCTTCAGTGAATTCTTTAACTCAGTTGTATAAACTGCTGTAGCAAAATGACTGGTGAGTCTTCAGAGCATGCTGTTGCTTAGTCTGGGTGTTTGGTGTGCCTGTTCCTGTCTAAATGAGAGCTGCAGTTGTGGAGCTATCTCCTGTCATTACTGATTTTCGATACTGGAGAGAGAGAAGAGTGCAAATCATGCCTCTGCTATGCTTTGTACATGACAAATGCAGACTTGTTGCGGCTTTTCACCTTCTTGTAAATTTATTGGGCTGCTGATTGCCAGAAGGGTCCAAATATGTGTTACCTTTTCTTTTAGTGGGCAATTGTCGTGGTTTAACCTGGCAGGCAGCCAAATACCACACAGCTGCTCGCTCACTCTCCCCACCCCCCAGCCTGGTGGGACGGGGAGAGAATCGGAAGGGTAAGAGTGAGAAAAACTTGTGGGTTGAGATAAAGACAGTTTAATAGAACAGAAAAGGGAGAATAATAATGATAATGATGATAGAATATACAAAATAAGTGATGCACAATGCAATTGCTCACCACCCATGCTGACCGATAACCAAGTAGCGATCACTACTTCCTGGAACACACCTACCATTCATATACTGAGCATGACATCACATGGTATGGAATACCCCGTTGGCCAGCTGGGCTCGCTCTCCTGGCTGTGTTCCCGCCCAGCTTCTTCCAGAGCATGGAAGCTGGATGTCCTTGACTAGCAGGGAACTTAGCAACAACTAAAACCATCAGTGTGTTATCAACATTCTTTTCATACTAAATCCAAAACACAGTACTAGGAAGAAATTTAACTCTATCCCAGCTGAAACCAGGACAGCAATAGAGGCACTTACTGAAATAGAAGGAATTTTGTGCTGAGTAAAATATCTAGTCAAAATTTGGGCAGCGAGGTGGGGTTACTTTTGAAAGAGTAACAGTAAAATTTCTAGAAGATCATTATAATAATAAGCTGTGCTACTTACCTCAACGGAGCAGTCAAGCATTAGTAGGTTCTTTTTCAGTGAACATGATTCTTTTGATGCGAGGAGAAGGCCTTTCATTGAATGAGCAGTCTTTTTGTTGAGTGTTGCCTTCTGAAAAGTTTATTCTGAAAGTTCAAGTTCTCTGTGAAGGACAGAATCCAATACTGTCTGAAAGGACTGGGTATTTAAGAAAAAGAAAAAACAAACCAATGAGCAGCTATCAGAACGCATGTTGCTAGACCTACAGGTGCTCCAGTTTGTTTGATCTTGTATCTAAGAAATACCATGATTCAGGCTAAAAGTACACTAAAATCGGATATTGAAATCCTTCTATGTTAAAAAGAAAATAACTACTAGCAGCTAAAACTCAAGTATACTTTCCTTCAGTGCAGTTGCACTAAGCAGTTGAGAGGGAAAGTAAGTTTGGTGATGAGGAATACAAGTAGGGATTATGCTCCCATGATTTCTAAGCCTTTTAGACAGTGAAAATCAGATGCTAGTAACTTATGATACTGGCATCATTTCCATCGGTATGCACATGAATGTGTGGATTACTATACTACAGCAATAGTTAGATGCCTATTTTGAAAAAGTTAAACTGTAACATTTCTGAGTATTGATACCTAAAGCTGCTTGGTTTCACAAAGCATATGTGATTGGTATTAGGTAATGGATTTTTCAGTTCGTATTACCTAAAGCTCAGCCTAAGCCTAAATAAGCTTTCTTGTATACCAGTAGCTCTTCCTTGTTAGATGATAAAGTATTGTAGACGGGCCCTGAATCCTATTGCTTGTGGTGCTTCCCTTCTTTAGTTTGCTCTACACTCCCAGACTATCTCTGATATTTTCATTTAAGCCTCTAATCAGGAAAGTTAACTGCATTCTCTTCTAAGGCTTACTAATCAGCTGGAAATTCCAGAATGTAATAGTTGAGGCCTACTGGATGTCCAGGCTACCTGCTAGGCTGTGTGCTAGAATGTAAAAACATTGTCAAATAACTTCTCATTAATAACTTTTAATAATCTTGTCTTAAATATACATGTAAATGTCTGTTCTCACTCTTAAGTTAGGAGTAACTTAAGGCAAACTGTTGTTATTCTTGCCTGATGCTTAAGTTACCTGAAAATGATCTCTTCTGATCAGAGAAGTGTACCTGTAAGAATGATTTGTTACTTTCTGTATTTTAATGCAGGCCAGCTTTTCTCTGACACAGAGCCCATTGGTTGGAACTATGCCATCAACACCTGGAACAGGTAGATGTCCTGTCAAAATATATAATCTACTTTCTTACTGGTTTCCTTAATACACAAAAATCATCACTGTTCCAGCTACATCAACTCCTTGCTAATTTGCGAAGGAGTTGCATCCTTATTTACTAGTTTTATGTGAACAGGAAATACTTTTCCACTCTCAGACTGTCTGAATTTCAAATCAACTTCACTTATTCCTTATTCAAAATTTGTTGTTGAACTGAGCACAGAGGTAGTTGTACTTGAGTGAAGCAGCTGAGATTGATGGGTCGCCTTCCATCTCCATAAGGTTTCCTGTCTCGTGTGTGAACCCATGGCTTCTTGCTAAGCTTTATTCTGCTGTCTTGTTCCTATTTGGCTTCTGTATTAAACTGCTGGTGTGTAGAGGTCCGGGAGAAAGCTACGTTGCTAGTCCTAAAACTTACTACACGCTTGCAGACATGAAGTTTGGATTGACTTACTGTTTGTCTGTGTCTGCAAATAAATCTCCATCAAACTCTTCCATATACAAGTGAAATGCTTGATACTGAATTTATTCTTTTACTATAGGCTCTTAAGTTTATCTGTCTTGCAAAAGTAATTTGTTAAGCAATGCCATTTCAATTTAACAGCTTCAAGTATGTTCAGTCCTGCAAGTATTGGGCAGCCTAGGAAGACTACTCTATCTCCTGCTCAGCTAGATCCTTTTTATACTCAGGGTGATTCCCTGACTTCAGAAGATCAACTTGATGACACATGGGTAACTGTATTTGGGTAAGTTGATTTCCAAAGTATTAGAAAAACCATGGGTGAAGTCTTCGCAGCATATGGAAAGAAGTACTTGGATGTTGCTGTTGTCTGGCATTCCTAGGTTCTGCAGGAAATACAACTGTGGTTAAAGCCAGCAAAAGCATATATTTTAGTGAAGCACTTTTACTTAAGCCACATGTTAATTTTTTCAAGTTAAAAAGGCAGCATTCTACCATTGAGGTGTGTGGTGAAGTAAAAATGCCTAGAAGATAATATTCCTCAAGTCACTGCTTCTAAAATGGCAATAACACACTGGTCTCTTTTGGATTTCTAAAAGCCATTCATAGGGTTGTATTTTAGCACCAGAATTCTTAAACTACTCATTATAATTTTTTGAGCATTTTTTTGTTTTTCAGATTTCCTCAAGCCTCAGCTTCATATATTCTTCTACAGTTTGCTCAGTATGGAAACATATTAAAGCATGTGGTATGTCTTAGTTTGAGTCTTATTTCTAAAAACATTCTGTCTCATTCTTTAAAAGGCTAAATTTCACAATTTTCACTTAATCTCATACAGATGTCCAATACAGGAAACTGGATGCATATTCGATATCAGTCTAAGCTTCAAGCCCGGAAAGCCTTAAGCAAAGACGGAAGAATTTTTGGTGAATCTATCATGATTGGTGTCAAGCCATGTATAGATAAAGTAAGTTAACAGCTGCTCTCATTTAAATACAAAGCACTCTGCTTTTGGGCATCCTCTTTATTTTCCTTGACCTCTTTGATTTTTTGTTTTTTTCTTTTTGAATTGCAAAGCATAGGTAGTTCAGTTGTATAAGTATAGTCTGTTATACCTTACATGAGTTTTTCTTAAGTATTTGACAAAATTGCCTGCTGAGAAGGATCACTATGGGAAATCTCTGTGCTGTTTGGAGGGAATGCACAGAATTATATTGCTGTACAAGATATGAAGTGAAACCATAACATAAGAGACAACTGAGATAAAGAGTTTCCCGGACTGGAATTTGTGGCATTTAGGGGCTGCCTAAAGCCTAGATATGTGAAGGCAGATTAAGACTGTTATTGCTCCTAATCATCCCTCTTTTTTATGTGACTATTTATCTGATTCTGGCTTTTCAGTTTATCTTAGTACATCAGACTGAAAATTTGTTAGCAAGACAGTCCTGATTCTATTCTCCCACCTGTCCCCACAAAAACATGTCCCTTTCTTCTAAGTAGTGGTTGGGGTAGGCATGGCTGTATTTCAGTCTAATTTTATCATGAGCTATTAGTTTCTAGGCATTGACGATGCCCTGACCAGTAATTTTTGCAGCGCTTTGCATTGGGTACTGTACATTAGCTTAAGCAAATGACAGTCATTCTTTTATGGTTCACAGATTTTTTTTTTTTGTCTCCTCTAAGGATAAGGGACACTAAAGAGTAATGTAAGCTTTCAAATGTAAACCATTCTGAGAAGGCAGCTCTAGAAATTGAGCTAGCAATTACTTCAATTTTTATCAGTTCAAAACATTTCTTATACTGATTAAAATTCAGAAACAAATGTACTTCAGTGCCCCTTTCCTCTCTGGGCTTCTGATGGTAGGGCTTCCAGTCTCTTCTTACCTTATTTACTATTTTGGTGTCCATTTTTTATCAATGACTGAATTGTCTATAAGCTGAAACTCCAGAAGTAATGATCTAAGACATTTAATTGTCAGGCATCTGATCTTGCTTTTGAATTCTCACTGTACTTTTGAGGGCAACAGAGATTTCTGGAGACTAATCCATGGAGGGTTTGGCATTAGCCTGTAAAACACTTCCTTGCAATTGAAAACTAGGTATGATAGATTTGACATCATGCTTAGGCTTCTGATTTAAAAGTAGCAGTTAGTTCCATGGGTTCCCCATTGGCTGAGCAGAGTGTCAGCTGCCACCCACGCTGGACACCAACCCTATCCTGTATTTTGGATAGCTGTCTCCTGCCAGATGTGCTTCTGAATTTCTGCTGTCTTTGGGCTGGTTGAACGCTGTGCTCCACTGAGTCTAAATGCAGCAAATTGGGTCTCCCCAGGCTGGTTGTCATTTCCCATTTTGTTTTCTCTGGGTTCTTTGCGGAACTTTCTGCCTCTTCCTTTCTACATGCATTCCTTTCTAAACATAAGCTTAGAAAATGGAGCCTTCTGACTCCTTTTCTAGCATTTGCTAAGGGGTCTGAGTTAAACTCCTTGGCAAGTTGAACCTGAGCAAAATGCTGCAGGTTGGTAAGGGCTTGGAGACTGTCTTGTGTGGATCAGGTAACATATTTCAGAAGTATTTAGAAAGAGGATGTTATGCTACCTAGTTCAACTGGGCCCGAAAAAAGTTACTACCTGAAGTTTGTTGCAAGTCTTACAATTTATTTTCTCTATACTGTTTCAAACTTGGCTGATATTTAGTATGTACAGTGAACAGATTACAGGCTTCCACTACTTTGCAATGGCATAATCCAACATATAAATGATTGCAGTGAGGAAAATGCTTGGTGTTGGTGTGTATTTGTGTGCTCTGTGCTGACAGGCAATTTACCTGTGGTCTTTGCTTACTTTGAGATGTGAACATATTTTATCAAACAATTCTAGATAATAGATAATTCTAGATAATAAAGGTTGAAATACTGCTTTTTAGTATTTGTTTACATTATATTAACCCTCTTTTTAATAAAAGTTGAAATACTGCTTTTTAGCATTTGTTTACATTATATTAACCCTCTTTTTAAGAGTGTGATGGAAAACTTTGAAAGAAGCTCTACATCCTCAATGTCTTCAGTTTTCACTCCACCTACAAAATCTGTCGGCACACCAGTACAACCTGCTAATAATACTACAAGGATTTCTACAATGAGACCTCTTGCAACAGCATATAAAGCTTCCACTAGTGACTATCAGGTATTTTAAGGGAAACAGAAGCATGTGTTTCTTTGTGCTATCTCCCCTTAGTTGTATGAGGCTGTACACACACTAACTTCAGCGTGACCTTAGCCTTTATCTTTTCCTGTCATTTCTTTAAAGATGTGGCTCAAGTACAAACTCAGTCTGTTCAGTTTCTAAAATAATAATTTAAAAAAAAAATATTAATGACTTGTCACTTTTCCAGAGGTTAAGGGCTTGTTTTGAAAATATTTCAAACATATTTTGTCAAAATATAGTAGCACTTAGGAAAAGAAAAGAAAAAAACCTGGTTAGTATAAAAAGAATTAACTATATGTTGACTGATTCTCTTTATTTTCTCTCTTCCTCTTCCCCTGTGCCTTCTAGGTGGTTTCTGACAGGCAAACTCCTAGGAAAGATGAAAGTATTGTATCTAAAGCAATGGAATATGTGTTCGGCTGGTAATATACAAGAGGAAGTAACACATTAACTTGGTCAGGGTTTGAAATATGCTACTGGCATCTGTGGTTAGTTGTATAACTACTGGTGGCAGTATTTTAACTTATATCTCACCTGTTATGCCTTCAGTTAATTCAGCAGACATGTAGCTTGCACTTTAAATGATGGCAATGTACACACGGTTTTAAAAACTGAGTAGTACCTGTAAATATACGTGCTTTTTTCCCATTTGTGCTCTGATTGCATGATTGTAGAAAAAATATCAGCACTGACTTTTCCTCTGTAATTACTTTCTGTGAATTACTTCCCAGTAAGTTGGAAATGTTTAAAATGGCAGCTTTATTTACTGATGCCTTTAATTTTATTGGGGTTTTTTTTCTGGAAAGGTGATGGGCTACTTGCAGGAAGAACACTATGCACAGCTGGCTCCCAGGGGCAGGGACTGTTCTTAGTATGTGTGATTTTAATTTTTTTATTAGGATTCATTGCTGTTTTATAGTTATCTCTGGCATCATGTTCTAAATGTCACAGCAGCCTTTTACCTCTTTGTTTTATTAATAAAGCTAAATAAAGTTAAATTTCTCTTAGATTGTTTTTTAAGCAAGTATGAGTTCTGTTAGGAGAAGCTATTTGCAGTACTCTTTAACTGTTAAGTATGATGCTGCCTAATGTTTATTAAAGTGTTATCAGCAGAGCAGATGCTGCTGATTTTTACTGAAGTAGTACCAACCAGCGTTAAAACTAGCTAATGTTTAAATGTTGTCTCCATGGGTATTTTATAGCAGTGTGCACTTAACAGGTAACAAACTGTAGCATTCTAAGCTACGAAATGTTGAGTTGAAATAGCTGAATAGAAAAATGCAATGTGTCAGTGACCAGAGCTGCTTTCATTTCAAGACTCTTCTAAGAAATTTTCTCCAAGTTATTGGCTGAATGATGATTGTTTTTTTTTTAATTTAACTTCCCCTCCTTGAAGTTTTCTTTCGGATGTGAGCCTCCCAAGTAATCATGTGTGTCATGTAAGCTCATAGTCTTTGAGATAAAGGTCTTTCATCTGGGAAGAGAGCAATTTTTCGTGCAATACTTGGGAAACTAAATGCAACTATTACTTTTTTGATTTTGTGGCTGTGTTAGTGTCGGTCAACATCAGCATTTTAGGTTGGGTCAATAGTGTGTTGGTCAGGTGAATATCCAGTCATACCCATTTCCATGCTTTGCTTCACACTGCAGTGTGGTCTCAAAGTTCTTCAACTGCACTTCTCTGATGAAATTAGATTGAAAAATTAGTCCAGGAGCATGCCTAATGTCCCTCAGATGCTAATGGGCATCCAGTTTACAGGATTAAGCTGGAGATAGTCCTGAGTAAAATCCCCAAAGCACTCAGAGAGAAGTCAGGTTTCTACCTCAGGGCACTTTGTGCTTCGTTGTATGCTTTGGAAGTAACCTACGTGCGAGCAGATTCAGAGATTTTTGAGATGCATTTTACTGTATTTGCTGGCTTATGCTTCTGGAATATTGCTTGCTACTCATCCATTTGCTTTTGATCAAAGGGAGCTGCTCAAACCTAATTAATATCTGCATGTTTTCTCTGGCTTTTTCTTGGTGAAAAATATTTGTTATGCAGATGACTTCAGAAAGAAAATGGGTAGTTCAGCTAAATTTATTTGGCTAGTTGCTTTGCAAAATATACTTCTGGTGCGCTTCAGACTTTTAATGGTGTGTATAGGATTTAGTTTAGTCGTGAAGAGTAAGATTGAACTTAGATCAAGTAAGTCTGAAGCTAAATACATAAGTTGGAGCTGAAGTCAGTAGTTTGGCTGACCTATTTTACCAATAAGTACTAGATTTAAAACTGTGCTAAGCTCTTTCCCCCCCCTCCTCCCCCCAGTTGTTTACCTTAGTCTCTTGTTTCTCATAACTTTAGGAATGATTTTACTAATAGGTCATTGCAGCTTCCTGTAGAGTAAAAGCACTTGGGAGTAGCGGATGTTGTTTACTTTGCTCTGGAGGTAGTAAATAGGAGAAGAAAGTTTAGAACATATAAATCTCTGTACTTCTGGGCAGTATCATTAAGAAATTATCTTCATATGGCCTCTGCTGGTAAAGACTACTGGTAAGACTTAGTATGTTGTGTCAAGAACTAGTTAAACCCTGGTATCAATGTTTTGGGCTTACGAAGTATGAGAACATTACAGCCCCACACTGCACAAGCCACTGCACAGCTTTGTGGCAATGTGTTCTTGATAATCTTGTTATTAATTATATGAGTGTACAGGGGCCATGTGTGAAAGGGCAGGGGATATTGAGAAGTACATGTATGAAGAATCTCTGAATGGAAGGTCTTCAAGTAAACAGTTTCAAGGTTAGCTACTGTTGTTAGGTAGCATTGCATTTAAAAATCCCATTCTTCCCGTTTGTTAACTATGTACCTGCTGCTTTGCAATAAGGAAGGATTCTCTTCTAGCTGTAGCTAGGTGTGATTTACATTAAAACCAAAGTTATGGACTTCAGGTAGTGATGTGTAACATACTCATGAAACTCAGTTCTGGTTTCAGTTGAATGGGGTTTCTTGTAAGACTGCGGATTACATTTTTCATAGGATTATGGCTTTAGTTTAAAGTAAAACTCACAAAAACTTATTTTCTGTTGTCTACCTCCATCACAAGCATGTTACTCGGGGATCTAATTCACTTCTCTTAGTATATAGATCTGCACAGTTTTAAATTCTAGAAGGATTTGTTGTATTGTTTCAGTTGTAATTTCACTACAATTTTAACAGATTTTTTTTTTTGGTAAAGACTTTTATAACTTGGAGATAGTGTTTATTTTTGTCCTCCTTTTTCCCTCCCACCTCTCCTCAATTTCGCTTTCTAGTAACTTTCAAAGTTCGGGTAATCCATGTACACTAACATAAAATGAAGATCAAATGTTAGAGTACGTCATGTCTGCCTCTCATGTCAGGTTGTAGGCATCTACCTCCACCGTGTGGCAGTTCTTCATAACTCTAATGAGAGGCTTAACTGATACTGAATGGAATATGGTATCTTAATTATACTTTAGTTAGGAAGTGCATAAACAGTACTGTGAGAAAATAGCAGTGTTCAAATGTCTCTTAGTTGAAGTGTTTTCGTAATAAAAGAAGAAAGGACAAAGATTAATTTACTAAATATCTTAATTTGGGAGTAATTCAGACTTCTAAATATTGCTTCAATGAAATAGTTCTTAAACTCTATTTAAAATCTTACCAGTATTCACTCATCTCCATTTTGAGACAGATAAATTCACCAAATTACCACAATATCCATTTTGTATTAACATAATTGCCTTTTTTCTGATAGTCTGAGTACATGTGTGAAAATACAAGACTTGAATCAGTTTTCTTTAATTTGACTGTAGATGGCTAGAGCACAGATAAGTCTGCAAAAATGTACTGCTTAAATATGTTTAGAAATAGTAAGCTGTTCAGTTGTTAAGCGAGTGAAAACCAAATAAACTGGCTTACAAACAACTCGGAATCAGAAGTTGGTTTACTGAATTTCAGACTGCAGGTGAGAAGGCTCTGGAATAAACATTCTAGATCTCTAGTAAAAACATCAGTCCTCAGGCAACTTCATGGCTTTGTGGTAATGCCTTTTTTTAATTGTTTGGACAAGAGTAAAAGGTGTTCTTTTGATGTGGTGTGTCTCTCAGTAAGTATCAAAGTGCAAACAGTACTGACTGTCAAACTTCTGTTCGTGTTTATAAAGAGTTTATTTAGAGTTCAGCTGGTGAAGTTACCTTTAAAAATAAGTGCATAATTAATAACTTTGTAAAATGTTTTTGGCCTTCTATTAAGGAATCCTTTGACTCGAGTACTTTTTTGTGTAATGCATATAAACTGTGCTTCTATCAACAAAGTCATGTTTTCCACTTTTCTGCAAGTAAAACTCATGTTGAAATCAAAGCATGTCTGATAAGCTGTAAATTCTTATGTCCTATATAATGTTGTCAAATATCTTTATTCTTCTTCGAGTCCTTCAGTTTTGTAAGTGAACTTTCAGCTTAAATAAAGAGTTTATTGCTGATGTAAGCAGGTGCAGTTGAAGTGACCCCAAAATTCTGGTCTCTGTAGAGGAAATGCTGGTTTTTGTTCATTACAGTCCTTTTGTGTGTGAAGTTGGAGACTCTATTCTGATTAGAAACAGCATGAAAGTAAGGAATTGCTCTGAACAGTTATTGTTTTATTTTGCTCAATTGTTTATCACATCAGATTTGGTATAATTTACTGCGGAAATCAGTTTATGAACATATCTTTCATTGTAGGGATGAATTGAATTTTCAGTATGAAAAATAGAGAACTTTTCAATGATTTCCCCGCCCCGCCCCCTATTCTGATTAGAAACAGCATGAAAGTAAGGAATTGCTCTGAACAGTTATTGTTTTATTTTGCTCAATTGTTTATCACATCAGATTTGGTATAATTTACTGCGGAAATCAGTTTATGAACATATCTTTCATTGTAGGGATGAATTGAATTTTCAGTATGAAAAATAGAGAACTTTTCAATGATTTCCCCGCCCCGCCCCCCACTAATTAGCATCTTGTTTAGCTGCCTTTGGAGTCCTGTCTGTTCTGGGAGAACCTGTCCCTTGTTGCAGAATTAAGTCCCAAAAAATGCTGTTTTCTTTTTCAAGGATCTTTCCAACCCCCTGGTGTTAAGAAGGTAACCTTGAGTACATGAAGCAAGGATAACCTGACAAATGGATGTCTGTAGAGATCTTCGAAACGGTATTTCTGTAGTGTGGATTATTCAGTTAATTTTAATAGACGATTTGTTTTGGAACCTAAAGATGGTCCAAAATATCTTTTTCTAAATTGGTTATCGGATAAAGTGCTGTAGCTAAATATTTTAGTTGGAACCCAGACTGGGGGTTTTTTGAGTGCTCGTATGCTAACTGGTGGTTGTTTTTTTCCCAAAACTCCCATTTCCTCCTGGCAACTAAACGTATAGCTGGCTTGAAAGAATCATGGTTGCAACACTGGCTGTCATGACATAAAGCACTGTAAAATGAATTTATTAAGCTGTTTAGATCTTTTAATATGTTAATAACATACATTATTAATTCAGCTAGTGTCATTTCCAGTCTCCTGCTCAAAAATGCTCAGCAATCCAGACTGCAACAGAAGTCAGACCTTGCTTCCGTAAAGTCGTAAGTGTGGTTATGGTTTGTTGGTATTGACAGCTTTGATGCTATGAAAAAAGC